AGGGGAAGTTTATGAATAAAATAACTATTTACGCGATTCATAAAAACGTCACTTGAAATCGTTGCATTTTCCAATTCGATTTATTAACGCTGTTTACAAACTCTTTCAAAACTGTAAATTTTTTCTGTGGGCTCGCTAACTTTTTTTCATCCAGTTCTATCTCATCGGCGCTTGGATCCAGTAAGGGCTAAAAGTTTAACTCAAACGCCAAAAAGGTATTCCAGTTACGAAAATATTACGATATATCTCACTTATCCCTTGCAGGTAAGGCCATCATCTGGCCTTGATCCATGTGCTTCATCACCAGACGAAGTTGCAATCAAGTTAAAAGGTTTTGTAGTCGGGGAAGGTAGCAAGCTAGATGAATATCTCAACAAGGGTGAACTCAGCCAAGCTGTTCAACTTGGTATATCCGTTTTCAAGTCTGCAAATGAAAAAACTGAATGTGGACAAGAATTGGACCCTAACGACATAGCTTTAGTAAGTTAATGAAATTGCTCAAATACAGTCGGCAACAACACTTAAACTTTCGGAATTAAGTTTTATGTTTTCTCTTAGAACACGTAGCCATTCCGATTTTCGTTCATTTATTTCCTAAGGCACACTTAAAATATGTGCAATTATTCGTTTTATGATAACACCAGCCTTGAGTAGTTTGTTTTCTACTTGACATGTCAAAAAAACTGCGTGTTTTTATGAGCAACAGTTCGGCCGGATTTCACTGAACATTTAACTTTCAGTTTCTGTACTAGTGTTCCGAAAAATTGTCTAAGTTAAGTCTTAGAACATTCTATAAAACAATCTAGAACCCGAAGTCATCTGGACGTGACCTTCTGGTAAAAACAACATTCTGGAACGTTCTATTTCTTACGTAGTTATTCAAATTTAGAAACCGTGTTAATCTACTAAATTTAGTTCTTTAGAGAAGTTTCTAGATCCTTGTACTTTATGTATATAAGAGCGGCAGTTTCATCAACACTGAGAGAAAATTGCGAAGAAGCTTAGTGCTGTAAAGACGAGAAGTCA